GAAGTTCATACAGGTGAATTAACTCCCACTTCAATATTAGTAAGTGCCAGCAAGGGAACATAAGCTAAAGTGGGTCAGTCTCTGGAGCTCAAGCTATGTCTACTCTATGGCCATGCATGAAAAGTCTGAAGAGTCTTTTTAATTGTTCTACCTATGTTTGTTCACTATTTTTTTAAAAACATAAAGTCCTCTTTTCAAAATCTAACATAAAACTCCAAAGTATATAGACACATTATTTCTATTCCGATTGAAATCACTAGTGGAGGGCTAGTTCCTCCCACCACCACTTCCACTGGGCCTGCTTCTTCCTACCTGTGACCAGGTCTACTCCTCTGCCATAGTCTAAGTGGACCAAAAAAGTCAGTCTGCCCCTTATTTCCTCCTCCACTTGCTCCCAAGACACTCAACTCACAGATCCTCACCTCTACCATTCTGTTAGTGACTCTCGAAAGCATGTCTCCAAGTTCATATTCCTCATGGTTTAGGACACATGGGGTGAAAAGTTTTCCAATGGCTATGAGGAGTTTAAAGTTGAAAAACTGACTGGGTGGAGGTGTTAATGCAATTCAGTGATATCTCCTTAAACTTCTGCCAGCATGTGCCCCAGGGATGAACAAGCTAGAGAGGAGACTCTCCCTACGTTGTCTGCACTCTTCAGGCCTTATCTGTAGCACACTCCTTCCTGCATGCCTGACCTAAGGGTACTCAGCCTTCCAGTAAGTGCTGCATGAACAGATAAGTTGGCATAGCCTTGAAAGTCTTCCTTCCCCTGGTGTCCTGAATTGATGACTTTTTAAAGTTCATCAGGTAACTAAAGAAAAGGGTAGAAAGGGGAAGAGAACTTCCAAAAATGATATACTTACCACTTCTATTCATTAGACATCATGAGAGTTGCTTTTTCTTTTTGTGTTTTGTAAAGTCACAGTCCACTTGGAAAATTAGAGTTAGATTCTGATTGCTTCAGTGTTTCTCAAAATGCACTCCTTGAACCAGTGAGCATCAGAGCCACCTGAGCATGTGTGTAGCCTCAGTGGCTCTGTCTCAAAGTCAGGGCAACAGCATTATTTGCTTCCCACATGATTGCTGTTAATTGTTAAGGATCTTTGACTCTTTGCTTGTATTGTATAATCTAAAAGCTGGCTACAATGTCTTGTATTTATACATATGTACGTTTCTCTCTTCTTAAGTGACAAATTCTCCAAAGTAATGCCTTCTAGATTTCTTCTAATCCCACTACTTTACAGGTCAATCCTAAATATATCATTGGGAATTTATTAGGAAACCTGACAGGGTTTAGCTTTCTATCCTCTGGTATCCTGATCTGTCAATACCTAAAAACTGGTAGTATTCTCAGATCAGAACATCAAATCAGCAATATCCAATATTATTTGTTATAAAATATGAGTTTCTAAGCAATACTTTTTCATCATCAGTGGGTTGGATATTCTTTTACTGGATAATTTTGAGATTCTGAGTAGGGAGAAAAATTAACAAGTCCCCAAGAAGCAAAGCTCTTTCCAAGTTTGAGAGTATTTATATAACAAAACTCATAGTTTTTTCTGTCTTCCTATCACAGGAAACTGGGCAAAACAAAATGGTTATTTAGCTTTGAAATACATGGATTGAAGCATCAATTTCATTGCAGGGCTGACAATAATATATGCTAACTTTATGCAAAAGGAGAGACTTTTTACTCTATGATATGTTTATTTCTTAGAAAGTGAGAGGTTCATTGTACATTTTCATAATAGTTTTCCTTGAGGTTCCATAAGCGTCTTCTGGAATATGAAAGGGATGGGAATTTGTACACTGCCCTAATGTCATCAGCCTACCTACTTTTGTAGCTGTGATATGTGATTATCTTTTCTATATTTCAAAAGCAATTTTATAATCACCAACTTTTTAACCACTTTTTTTTTAAGAGAATAAAACCAAATGAAAGAAAACAAAATGCGGTTCAGTCAAAACAAAAGGATGGACAAAGTATATGACTTAAACCCAAAATAAAAGTTGATCAACAATAGTTACCATAATGCCTCTTGTTACTTTCAATAGAATTGCCCTTATTATCAGGCATAATAAAACTGAACATAACAGTACAGAACAAAATCAATAAAAACAAAACATTGGATACATTGTAGGACTTCAAAAGAAGATAATAGTCAAAGCAGAATGGGTATCCTAGTGAATGTTATTGTCTTCAAAGTATTATCTGTACCCTCAGACTTAATACTATCAAGCAAAACAGATTCAATAAAATCAGTCAAAACAAGACAGTGCAAGCAATATAGGGTTTCAAATTAAGTTAATAGGAAATCAAAAATGGTTACCAAAGTGTATCCTGCTTTTGTTGAAATAGCTGTCCATGGCATCAAATCTAGTACAAGTAGACAAATTGGAACAGAATATAACCAAACTAAACAGAGTGATGAAAACAATATGGGTTTCAAATCATGAAACAAGATTACCAGTGTTCACTGCCTTCCCTTTTTAGACAATTCCTCCCCTTTCACTTTCATGGGGAGCACTGTACATTTTGTATCCCACTAACTCCTTTAGTTTTTAGATTTGGGAGGCAACCCATTATTCAGAATCATTAGTGATTCTGAACCTTTTTACTCCTAAGCATGATTTCAAGTTGTATCCATTTACCTACAAAAGCCTCAAGGTTTTCCTTCTATAAGGAAAAACTATAAGGTTGAGTAGTTCTCCATTGCATAAAAGTGTTATGTCTTTCCAACCAGTCTGTAGCTGATGGGTGAGCAACCCCTACATTTTTCTGGTTCCCTGTCACATACAGCATTATTTTCTTATCTTTGACTTTCACTCTATAAAACCTTTCAAATTAATTATATTTCTTATACAGCAAATCTTGATGGACCCTATCTCCTGATCCTCTCTGCCCGTGTTTCTTTTTATTAGTGTATCTAGGCCATCCATGTTAGTGATTATAGCCAACCTTCTCTGCCTCATCTCTGCCATGCTTTTTTTCTGTCGTTGTTTGTCTACTTTTCTTCTTCATTCCACTGTCCTGCCCCAATCAGTGAGCCGCCGCTGCCACTGTTCCTGAAACTATGGTCTTTTTTTTCTCTCTCTCTCTCTCAAATATATTTTTTGTAGGGTTGGATTGGTGGTCATGAACTCCCCCAGCTCCTCTTTGTCATGGAAGCATCTTGTTTCTCCATTAATTTTGAGAGATAGTTTTTTCAGGGTACATCAGTCTGGGTTGGAGATCATTTTCTTTCAGGGCTTATAATACTTAACTCCAAGCTCTTCTTCATTTGATGGTTTGTGTTGAGAAGTCTGTCATGATTCTGACAGGTTTTCCTTTTATAGGTGATCTGTTTCTTTTCTCTGACAGCTTTTAATATTCTGTTCTTGTGTTGAATTTTTGGGATCTTGATTATTGTATGTCTGGGTGTAGATCTATTTTGATTATAGCTGGCTAGAGTTCTGTATGCCTCATACATCTGAATATGATTTCCTTTTCCTATGCTTGGGAAGTTTTCTTTAATTATTTCTACAAATAGCCTTTGTATTTCATTTTTGTTTACCCCTGCTTCTTCATTCACATTTTTTATTCTTAAGTTATAGATCCTCTTATCATCTTCTAGCCTTTGTATTGTTATTTCCTGGTTCCTTGTTATTTTTAAGAGATCTTTCCTCGTGATCAGAAGTTGCAAACCTGTCTTCCATGTTTCACAGTCTATCTGTAGTTTCTTTCAAGCAGTTTTGTCAGCTTTCAATGGAGTTTTTAATTTCCTGGTAATCTCTTTGAATCTGTTTCATGTATTCTAAATTTTTTAAATATTCTTCATTGAAGGTTTCCCTCCTTTTTTTAAATGCTCCTCTATTCTTCCATCTGTGTCTTCTTGAGAGGGGCTTAGCATTTCTTTTATTATGTTTCTTATATCTTCCTTTACTTGTATTAGTATTTCTGTTTTAAGTTCTTTTATAATTTCTTGAAGTTTTTTTTATGTCACACGGTGTTTCTTCAGAAACTACAGGTGTGTGACTCCCCGTCTCTTCTGTGTTTACCTCTCCTGGGCCATGGTTGGAGGCCAGAGACTGCTTTTTGTTTCTTTCTCTTGTCATGTTCCTGATTTCTCCCAAACAAGTGGGTAGTGGGATCCCAGGCACTTCTTGTATTAGTTATAATTACTCTGAAGCATCCTGATTAGGGATTGCTGCTTTTCCCAATCTGCTGGTGACTACTGGAGTATAAACAGGGGTAGGGCAGGCTGGCCCCTCCCTTCTGTGCTGGATAGCCACATTAGTGTGTGCTGCAGGGGCAGGGTTGGTTATGGATAGCTTTAGGGAAACCTCGGCCTTGGCTATTGGATCACACACAGGGGCAGGACTCAATCCAAGCAATTTTCACAAATCTGCTCTGCAGTAGGAGTGGCTGATTGAAGCTAGCTGCAATTCTGGTTCCAGGATTATCCTGCCTGACTGCAAATTGGCACCTGGCCAATTGCCCACTCCATTGGGAGGACTGAGTCCCCCACACTCACCACCAGTCAGTGCAGTTCCTCAGTCTACTGCTCCCCCCACCACCACGTCTTCCTGCTGAGGCCTTTGGCAAACCCCAGCCTCACTGTGACCATGAGTCTCCAGATTCCAGTGGCACTTCTCACACAGTGGGACCAGCTCCGGTGAAAGCATGTCCAGCTACCAGCTTGTGTTTAACTTTTTCTTCTCTTTTCTTTCTTTGTTTATTCTCTGTGGGCTTTGATTCTCACTTTAGTTTCCTCCTGGGTCAAGGGGATCCATTTGTTTCCTTTTGGTCTTCTCCAGAATGCTATATTCCAGCATCTGGGCTGTTTTTCTCAGAGAGGCTTTTTATTTTGATGTTTACTGTTCCACCATCTTCCCAGTATCCTGTTAACCACTTTTGACCTTTAACATGATCAAACTGTTTGGAATCTAAGCTTATGATCTTTGTATTACATTTTTTTCTTCCAATTCATGGTAGATTCCCCTTGTTTTCTCTTTTTCAGGATCAACACTCTGTGGTAGGCCAGAACACAGGCTCCAATCTGAGTCCCAGCCCCTGCTCAAATGCAAATGCTGTGAGTGGTTACATGAACTCCCAGCAGTCACTGCTGAATCAGCAATTGATGGGAAAGAAGCAGACGCTACAGAGGCAGATCCTGGACCAGAAACAGCAGCTTCTCCTCCAGCAGCAGATTCTGGCTGATGCGGTAAAGCTTTCTTCTGACTTCTAGTGCACACATTTCTTGGCCCAGTAAAGAGAAATCATCCTTTTCCATTCCTATTTAATGTCCTTTTTTTCTGTGCCCACTTACATGTTAGGATCAAGAGGGCCCTGAATGTAAAAGAAGCAAACTCTAAACATTAAAATATATTGGGCAAAGTAGGATAACTTGATTTACTGTTGGTCAGACACTTGAAAGCATAGCACCTTGGCTAACTAGACATTCCCAGCTCAGGAATGTCCAGAATGACCAGTGTGGGCATTTGAATCAAGCAAAAGAAACGAATGGTGTTCCACATGCTCCAGGGATAAAAATAGTGGGCTAAACTTCTATCACCTCGAATCCAAACTGATTTTAAAGAAAATCAAGTTTAAGAGTAATTTCAAAAGTCAACTTGGTCTTTCAATATTAAGATTTGTCTTCAGAAAGAATGAATCATGAAATAGATACAGATTTTTTTAAAGAAAATTGAAGATATATTTTCCATTTTTACCATATCTATATGCCTTTTAAGAAAGGCCAAGGTCATGTGTCCCAACACTATATAAGTATTAACCCTGTTTCAACATTTATCTGCTCATCCCTCTGTGTTCTCTAACATATTCATATACAACATCTTGTCCAAATCCTTCCTGTCTCCTAAAATCATGAGCCCCATCACCAACAATTTCATTCTTTTGGCCAAATGAAATACAGGGGCAAAGGTAAACACTCCCAGGTTAATAGAGCAAAGGTACAAAGAAAAGAGAAAAATAAGGAGTAGAACTGTAACCCATGTTCTTGTCCAGCATGCTAGCCCCTGCATTCATCCCTAGCAATGTAAAAAGAAAAAAAGAAAAGAAAAGAATTTTATACTGAAGGAGCCAGGTGTTAATATAGTTGTAAGAGCTTAATATTGGTCACGGCATAGAATATGCACAAATATGGGGTAGGGTTGTCCAAGGAGACCAGAAATAAAAGACCAGAGGATGCAGCTTGAGAAACCAGCACATACATTATTAGAAAAGTGACAGAGATTTTATGAATTTAGAATGAGAAATCCTACAGGTGATCAAAACTTGGGGTTGTTTAAATTTAAAAAGTTATTACAGTAAAATACATTGCCATTAACCCCCCTAAAAGTACTCAAAATACTCCTCATCTAAACATACTTATCCCATTGTTTTTTATATGTATCTTTCACGGTAATAAGGAGTATTTTTTTATTTGTACATTCACTGTGTTTCTTTATCTACACTCATTGATCGACATTTATGGAAATGTTTACCTAATGAAAGTGTGTCTCCACCCACCTTATTCACTGGATCTTGCACCCCACACCTTCAGACTCTCCGTATAGTCAAAATAACCCTGAAAGGTAAACATTTTGAATTGATTCAGGACATTGAGATAGCCACTACAGTGCAAATAAAAAAGAGAGACTTCCAGAACTGCTTCAGAAAGTGGAAAGACAGTGAAATAAATGTGTTCTAAGTAAGATGGAATATTTTGAAGGAAAATGTCTTTTAATGTAATAATTTTTAAAATTTAACACCATATTTTTATCATGCATATTTAACTTACATTATAATAATTGCATAGACTCAGTAAGAGAAAGTTTAATGGAGAGAAAAATTAAACTCAATCTGGAAAGAATGAAGATAGTCTCCTAGAAAAGGTAAAATTTGACTTTGACTTTAAACACTGTAGCATTTTAATACACAAGAAATAAATCTAGTATTTTAGGTAGAAGGTGGACCAGACACAAGTACACCCTGACTATGCATTTTTTAGTTGAGATTGAATTATGAAATAATTCATGCATAATAAAAATATAAATAATAATATAACAATTATTTTTGCGGTAGGATGGATTGAAATTAGAGTCTTTAACTGAACTATATCCCCAGATTTTATTTTTTATTTTAAGGCAGAGTCTTCCTAACTTGCTAAATTACCCAGGCTTAGCTAAAATTTATGATTTTCTTGTTTTGCCTCTGAGATGCTGCAATTATAGACCTGCACTACAATGCCTGGCTACATGTGTCTTTTTAAAAAGAATACAAGTTACATAATTTTGGAGCCCAGAATATATGAGGAAAAATAGTGAGAAACAGATTTCCTTGATCTTGAATGTGGAACACTGAGAATTAACTTCACCAATGACCTTGAATACTCTCCTAATGTATAAGCACAAGCGAGCAACTGGCTGGACCACAAAGTGACACACTGGTATCTTTCACAAATCAATGTTTTAACAAGTTCAGTCCTCCCAATCGTGCCCTCTGCCTCCTCCTCTTCTTTAATACTTATAAATAGCTTAAAACATAGGCTGCAAAAGAGAAAAACATGCCATCTAAAATTGTCTTACTGGATACACGTTTATTATTTTCATCAATCTTACTACTCTGGCAAATTACAATGTGCTGAGGTTGAATTTCTAGATTTTCAGGTCAGATTAAAAGGCATGAAAGTGGGAGCACACACATTCCGGGAAGGTCTGGGGCTGGCACTGCCTGGCTCCCTCTGAACCCCAGCTGAGTCACATTGGGACAGGTGCAGAGGGCAGTGGCATAGCTGTGAGAGATGAATGAGAATGAGGCGCCACTGGTTTTGATTTTTATAAACCATTCATACTTCTCTTTGTTTAGACACCATTGAGGGCCCTTGTGCTTTTTACCATATCCAGGAAGAAACAGTCTTTGATGCCACTGTACATTAGCATATGCTTTGTAGTTGCTTGGCAAGCCTAGACAGGCACCTCAGTTGAGACATTTTCTCATGAAAGTTTGTTGTCCTTACTGTTATTCTTCCACCAGTGAGGCACAATGAAGACTAAGTAACATTTCTCACAATGAACATCAAGATTACCAACACGTATTGTGCACCTACTGTGTGCCAGGCACCATGCTGGGCTGTTACTGAATTAAAGGATTAATTCTTAGGAGAGGAGTATGAGGAGGAGACCGTATAAGGATCCACAGCTTATGTTTTTACAACTGACATAAAACAGATAGGTACTGTAACAAATGGTTTTGCTATTAGGGTTTCAGATGCAAGAGTCTAGGTTATTGTACAAAATTAGTTGATCACTGAAATTCACGTTGAACATAAATAATTTGAGGGATAGTCTATGACTTTACAAGTCATAGGGAAATTCTCTTGCAAAATATAACTGCCACCACTCAGTATTGTTATCTAGGCTTCATTACTCCTCTGGGCAAAGTGGTATCAGGACAGTTCTAATGTGATATCCATAGGCAAAGTCATTAGACATAACTCGCTTGTGAAAAAGTAACAGTTGGGGAAACTAAACTACAAATAAATAGTCTTTGCGAATGTATATTTTAACTCTGAACAGTAGTTAATACGCCCTTGGAGTGACAAAAGGTCAATAATTAGCTTGAAGACACATAAAAAGAAATACTGGTTTGAATGATGAGAAATCAAAGGGCTAATTATCACAAATAAGCAAACACATATGCATTCTGTCCTCTTCAATTTAAGTAGTAGAAACATCTAATTAGGTGAGATAGATGCTTTTCAGAAAAGAAGATTTTTACAGAGTCCCACGTTTGGCTTAAAAATCAAAACTGCCAGTTTACACAATAGTTTACAACCAAGTTGGTTCCACATTGCCACATTTGGGTTCATGGAACATTTCAAGCTGTTTCTTAAACATTTAGGGTTTGGGCAAAACCAAAAAAAGAGTTTCACCAACCATATTTTCCCCTTTATGTGTAAACCTATGTTTAAAGGAAATGTAATCCATATGTTTCTGATTCATTTACACTTAGCTCATCAAAATTGTGTTTCACATGAGTAACTCGATGTCCAAAAAATGCTGTGAGTCTTTCAAGTCTTTTTTTCTTAGAAACAAGAAGTAAATTTGGTTTGTTGTTGTTTTAAGACTCCTTCCCTCCCTTTATAATAATTTTATTCTACTTAAAAGGTTTGGAATTTGATTGTAAACTGAGAAACACATGATTTAAGCAAGTTCTATGTTTGGCAGTATGTATTTGGCTTCTACCTAATTGATTCATCCATCTATTACAAAGTTTTATTTTCTATTTATTAATTTTTATATAATTGTAGCATTTCATTTCTACCTATGCCAATCACTTTTATCTTTGAAAATGGAAGTTGCTTTGGGGTGTGTATAAAATTCACTGAAGCAATTCCAGAAACTTCTTGATCCACACTGACAAAAAATAAAGCAGCCCTTAATGTCCACAACTTATATGACATTTGTAGCCAAGACATTTGTTCTCTGTTGAACATAAACAATCTTATAACATTCCAGCCTCCGACAGAATTACTCTGATGCCATGATCAAAATAGACAAAATAATTTTATCTAAAACAGATATAAACAAGGATACTGTGTGACCTCAGTATACCAAACATCCCCCTCCCTGTCTAAATAGATGATTACTTCTCTAGTCAATCATGCAGTCAGCCTCAGTTTCTGGCAGCTTTCAATCTAAGAAAAATCCTCACTTCCTTAGGCCTTTCCTGGATCATGCCAAGTCCAAATCTCATGCTAGGTTCTTTCTAATACATGCTTCTCCTGAGACCCCGGTATCCCCCTAGGATGTGCATCCTCTCTGTAACAATGAGTAATACACCAAATAGGTAGCCTTTCAGAATACGGCATTGAAATGTTAAAAGAATGTTGATATTTCTTCTCTTAACTTCCAGGCTTGCTTAGTCTAAAGTTCTAAAGGTGGCTGATTCCAGAAAAAAGGAAAGGAAAGAACCTGGGAAAATTCTGTGCTTTTAGTATGAATCACTAAGAAACTAAGTCACAAGGGGTCCTGGTTTTTTGTGGCAGGAAAAAACCTAAATTTATGGCTCAGAATTTGCTTAGCCTCATGAAGTTTCCATTTTCTTTTCTTTTACATGAGAATAATCATACCTACCTTGGAGGATTAATAATGAAGGGATAAAAAAGACATATGCATATAGTACATATCCCAGTATAGGATTAATTATCTCCTAACATTGTGTCCCAACTAATGTTGCCAGATTTAACAAATAAAAGTAAAGAATACCAAAGTGATATGTCTTTCATATGGAAGCCTATTCTTAGGCTTTCCACAGTCTATGGTACCAGAATTACACAGAGATACCAAAGCGTATGAGATGTGCCACATTGCAAAGCGAGATGCACCAGCTCAAAACGGACAGAAATGGAGTCCTTACTGATATCTAATTGCAAAAGAAAGTAGTTCCGAGAATCAAAATATTTTAGGTTAAATATTATAGAGCATTTAATGCTCCAAAATGCTAATGACACTTCCATGTAGGAATTTTATTGAAACTGAAAAGATTGATCTCTGAATTAGCTCAGCTAAAAGAGGTCATGATTTGCAATGCAGTACTGCAAAATGGCCCTTTTTTATTTTAAAGAAAAAAAACCAGAAAACAAACAAAAAAAAACCCCAAAATAATAACTATACAGGATTTCAAGACAAGATGATAGGAACTTAACAATGGTTGTTATATTGCATATTATTGTCTTCAAAAGAATTGCTCAGATTACCAGATATAGGCTGCAAAACTGATCAAACAATGTGAGCACTAACTGTTCCTTTCCTTGAATTAATATAATTAGTAGTACAATCATCTTAGGTTTCTTGTGTGTGTATAATTATATTTTTTTCCTTTTCCTTTCCTTCTTTCCATCCCAGTTGTTCTTTCTCTCTGAGCAGTTTCTTTCCTTTTCATAATATCTAATGTATCTTTTTGATCTCATTTACTCTTTCAGGTTCTTACCTAGAGAGGCAATACGGTGTTTACACATGCAAGTCTGGTTTATTTCGTTTATGAGTATGGTCTCAAGTTGCATCCATTTACCTATAAAAACCTTGAGTTCATCCTTCTTTATAGCTGAATAATACTCTTGTAATACTCTATTGTTCTTACTTCCTGTTCAAATAGCACATAGGAATTTATGAGTGAAAAGATAATAGTACAATTTAATATGTTTTCATTTGTGTTTTCAAGGAGAAAATTGCTCCACAAGATCAGATAAATTCACATTTGACAAGGCCACCCCCAGATTACAAAGACCAAAGAAGAAATGTGGGAAATCTGCAACCAACTGCCCAGTATTCTGGTAAGTGCCCTTAACTTAGTGAAAGACATAACTGGGAAAAGAACATAGCTATTCACTTTTCAATGTTTTTGTCTTCTTTTCCCAACCATATTTGAGAGTAATGTCTTTCTTTAAAGATTTTTTTTTATCGTTACCGGGGATCGAACTCACGACCTCCTTCCTGCTTGCACGGCAGGTGCTTATGCTGCTGAGCTAAGTCCCCAGTCCTGAGTGTAATGTCTTTCATGGAGTCTTTTTCTAGCTACCATTTATCTTCCAGGTTAAAACTACACTGGACCCTTCTACTAGTTCTTGCTTGTTCTTGCTCCGCGCTCACACATCCACTACTCTCTAACTACTTCTGAGAATCCAGAGAGCTGAATATTTTCTGAATTCTAGGTTCATTCAGTTTCCCAATAACTTATCTTGTCCCAGGTAATGTAAGGCATGAAAATATTTCTTGTTCCTTCACAATCACAATTGTAACTTGCACAAAGCCAACTCTTCTGACTCCACATCCTTCTTTAGAAAATTTTCTTTGACATCCTGTTCAGATGAAGGAATGCATAAAACAGAGAGGAGAGAATGCTTTAACTTACATGAAGAAATACAGCGTTTGAACAGAAGAGACTTGAACTCTTCCCCTCATTTCCCCTTCAAAGACATATAGTCCTGCCTCCAAGGAATAATTGAAAGTCAAATGTGTCCTTAAGAAGCCTCCTTAAACACTAGCGGTGGATTTCGTTTCAATCACAAAATGAAACTTTTTAATAGCTTTCTCACTATAAGATCTCACCCCAAAAGCACTCGTCTGCCAATCTATGAACTTTAGAAAAACCTGCCCAAACCTGGTTGATACCGCTCCTGCCTTCTTTTCAGCATCTGGTCAAGTCTCTTCTGTTCAAACTCTGTGCACTTCTTCATGTAAGTTAAACTCCTATATTTCCTACCTTCTCTCTGCTTTATGTGTTCCTCCATCTGTACAGGAAGCCAAAGAAAATTTTCTAAAGAAGGAGAAACTGTGAAAATATTTATTAATATTTTTCCCTGTTAAGTATGTTTTTAAATACATTGCCTTGATTTATTTAAACTTCTTCAAATGAGCCAGATTGTCTCTATTACATTAGAGGATTCTTTCTAGGATTCTTTTGCTCCAGCAAAAACAGGATTCTCTGTATGCTTGTCCTCAGACAAATTGAAAGGACAAGATAACAAATTATTTGGAACATGGCCTGTGACTGGCCTTGGAGAAATTGAGATCCCCCTGAAATATTTAAAAATTCAAATAGAACTTCTTTTCCCATTCTTAGTGTTATCCCAGGGATAGTAGTCTAGGGTTGATTTGATGGCTTGACTTTATCATGTTTCTGTTCCATCTTCTTTAGCATGTGACTGACTTCCATCCTAAGGCTGCTTATACCCAACGCATCATCAACCTTCACATCCACATTTCAGGGAGAAAGAAGAAAAGAGGGAAAAAGAAAAATGTCCTCCCAAATGAGTTGTACTCCCTTTAAAAAGCAGGCTTCTCAGATCCCTATCTAATAATTTCTACCTTTGGTCAAAATATATTCACCTGCACCCTTTGTCAACAAGAAAATTTGAGAAATGTGGTTTGTCACCAGCATACACTGCTACAAAGTCAAGGCTGTGTTTCTAATAAAGACAGGGAGGTTGGAAAGTGGATAGGCACCTAACAGTTTCTTCTGTACTGCATGTACACATTTTTCTAAGGGCCCACGCATTTTCCTTAGCTACAAACTTCTACTTCCCAAATAACTAAGAATCACTGTTCTAGAGCACTTTACATGTTTTCTAAGAGTAAAATAAGCAGCAAAACACACCACAAACTTTTATCATTTTGTAATTTTAATCACCTTTCCCACATGCTAATATTAGAAACGAAGCACAAAAGGAACCTGGTTTGATCACATGTTAAGAGCTTCTGAATGTTAGCCATTATGTTACTTTGTGATCACCGTGGAAGATTTTTCTGTTGTGTTTGTTTACAAACACTGCTATTCTCATAAATCTTCTCAGGGCATTATTTTTAAAGCAGAGCATCTACAGGGGATGATTGTTAAAACCTCTGAATGTTTTGCTTAGCATTTGCCTCCCGGCAGACTCCCTTGTTATGAAATCTTGAGATGTAAAGACAGTGTTGCTTCAGGTCATTAGCACTGTGTGTACTCTCCGTTATTATTCCAGTGTCTTCTATCTGGCTGTAATCCATCACCGTCAAACACTTCCTGCCCACTACACAATGCAGGGCCTTGTATCAAGACTAAAGATACAAAGAGATTATGAGAGACTGTTCCTGCCTCGAAGGACTATATAGTCTAGTTGGGGCTTGTTTTGAAAAAGAAAATGTCACTGCTAGAATGTTCTTTTGGCCTTCAGCCTTTCAAGCTGTGTATCATATTGATATAGGGGGAAATGTAATTCTCAACCTGCTAGATGTCAGATACGCCAAGTTTGTATTTTTCAAAACTGAAGAATGAATTCTAAGAAACAGCAGAGGTTAAGAGCAGGAAATATTTATTGAGAGAAAGAGAGCGAGAGGCCGCCAGCTCTTGAGAGGCAGGAGGGGAACAAGAAAAATGACTTGCTGCAGACCCCACTTAATAGAGGAAGTTTTATAAACAAAATCACTAGATGGGTACAAAATCATGAAGGGGGTACAATGTGGGGCAAAACTGTGCTCAGCCAATAAGTTTACAAGTATACCAACCTAATTGACACAGTAGAGAAGCAGGCCACATAGTAAGCGTGCTTGGAAAGAACAAGGACTTTTTTTGGGAGTAGATGAATCAGAATGGGGTTTAGCTCAGTGGCACAAGGGCCTGCCTGGCAAGCACAAGCTCCTGAGTTCAATCCTCAGTATCAAAAAAAAAAAGGTTAAAAAAAAGTCTATGGCCATACCACCCTGAATGTGCTCGATCTGTCTGATCTCAGAAGCTAAGCAGGGTCGGGCCTGGTTAGTACCTGGATGGGAGGACTAGATGAATCGGGACCTTGGTCACTCACTGGAGTGACTGGTGTTAATTTATTGCTTATCTCTTAGGGAGTATGTAGGCTTGGTCATTCTGTATTTTGAGGCTTGGTCTCCAACAAATGTGCCTCTAGCCACATTTGTAATGTGTTTTCATCCTCTGTGTTGACCTTCGTAAGGACTCTGTCTGATTGTCCGCAATATTTTTGCTTAGCTTAGCTGTCTATAAAAATATTAGGTCTCCTCAGACTTCAGGGGATATCCTGAAGTTTCAATTTCAGACATACACTTCTGATAACTGAATTTTAATATTCATATGTGTGTGTAACATACTTTCTCAGTATTTCTAATTCTCCAGGGCCTGCTTGCCTTTATTCAGGAAGAACATTTCCTAAGAATATCTTTCTCCTAGTTTTGTTTCACTACAATCTCATATTCATTTACATAAAGTGTATCAAGTTAATATCAACTTTGTGCCATCTGCTAGACTTAGGGAATATTACAGTGAAGAAAGCAGGCAGAAATGCCTTATCAATGGTCTTTTTTCTCTTCCATTTTTGTCTCTCAAAATGCTTTTCCGTGGATTGCCTAAGTGCTAAATAAATGCATTAAAGAGAAATTTACTGCTTGAGAGATGAGACTGGAATAAAACAGAAAGCTTAACAGAGGAGCTTAAGTACTGACCTAAAGCTGGGAGGAAAAAAAGGGACTCAGTGAAGCAAGAAAGTCGTCATTTGAGAGGGAAACGGCGTGGGCAAAGGTGGCACAGAGTGCTCCCCGGAAGGCTACGGTAGTAATGATATGGTCTAAAGCAGAAAGCTTCCCATGTGGAAATGATAACCACAGCATGGATGGCATCAAAGTCCGGAGCCTTAAAGAGATAAAATTTTACCCATTGAACAACAGGGAGCCATTATAGCAACTTCTTGGATAGGGATGATATAGTTGAAGAATGGGCTATGATTTTCAAGGCTATAGATTAGGAATATTAGTCTAGCAGCCGTATATTGGATTTATTCATACAGTCTTATTTGGGCCCTAGAGTAAACAGTAACATGATTTTATAATAACTGGATTTCATGATAGCTATTAATCAAAACTGTATTCTTAACACTGGGAACACAGTAAATCAAAATGAAAGATCTACTGTTACCTCTCCTCAGTGACTCCAGAAGAGGACTAAAAGAAAACCTACATAGGACCACCTTGTTTTCTTCTTTAATAAGTAAACTCTTAACCAAGAAGCAGCATAATCCTGCCGCCTGTACTCACAAGCTATCTAATTTATTTTACATAATATGTTTGATGATCATTTCTCTTCAATTATTCTTGCACCTGAAAGCAGTTTGAGTTGACCAGTTTGGGTAAATTACTAAAAAAGAAGAGATGGTTTACTGCTCTGAATGAATGTAATTCTCTTTTCTTTTCTAGGTGGCACGTCTACAATGAGTTTACACTCTAACCAGGCTTTAACAAACCCAGTTTCAACACACACCATTTTAACTCCAAATTCCAGCCTGTTATCTACGTCCCATGGGACAAGAATGCCATCATTGTCCACAGCAGTTCAAAACATGGGGATGTATGGAAATCTGCCATGTAATCAGCCTGGCACATACAGCATCGCTTCTGGAATAAATCAACTCACCCAGCAGAGGAATCCAAATCAACTGATAACAAATCAAAACAATCCTTTGATGCCACGGCCGTCTACCTTAGGGCCAAGTAACAGTAACAATGTGGCCACTTTTGGAACTGGATCTGTTGGTAATTCACAACAATTGAGACCAAACTTAACCCATAGTATGGCAAGCATGCCAGCCCAGAGAACATCGAATGTAGTGATCACATCCAACACAGCAGCAGCAAACTGGGCCTCTCAAGAAGCAGCAACCAAACAGCAGGAAGCGCTGAAGCCCACGGGGGTCCACTTCCCCACAGGCACCCCTGCGGCCTACACTGCAAACCAGTCACTGCAACAGGCAGTAGGTGGCCAGCAGTTTACCCAGAGGGCAGTGGCTCCTCCGAGTCAGTTAACACCAGCTGTACAGATGAGACCCATGAATCAGATGAACCAAACACTAAATGGACAAACCATGGGTCCCCTCAGGGGTTTGAATCTCAGACCCAATCAACTAACCACACAAATTTTGTCTAATTTGAACCAGTCAGGAACTGGGTTGAATCAGACAAGGACAGCCATAAGCCAGCAACCATCCCTGACACCCAACAATTTTCCTTCATCCAACCAAAGTGCCAGGCCTTTCCAAGGAAGTGACCATGGCAGTGATTTAGGTTTTGACTTCCTGAGCCAACAGACTGACAACATGGGGCCTGCCCTAAACAGTGATGCTGATTTCATTGATTCTTTATTAAAAACAGAGCCTGGCAATGATGACTGGATGAAAGATATAAATCTTGATGAAATTTTGGGAAATAACTCTTGAAAGCAGAAGGGGAGACAATTCACAAATGCCGAGCACTAAAAGGCAGTATTTTATAAGGACGTTATAAAGGCCAAACTGATGATTTCCAGGCAGAGTACAGAAAGATATCATGGGTTGAAGTGAAAAGCAGAAAGAACTTCAGTGGTGACTATTTTGACTCAAATTCTTGTTTAAAAATCTCAAATCTTAAAATAAAATATTTATCACTTGTCCCTGTATAAGCCCCGGGACATATTACCCAAACAGAACTGTGATGTTGGTGTGTCTTTAATTGTATAAAATAGGCTTCCTGCACTCTGTTTTCTCTGAGAGAACTTGTAGCGTGTTTAAACCCCGCATAATGAGGTGGTATTAGTTCTAAGCAACAACAACAAAATTCCTTAATTTGCTTTCATAGATATGTGTGATTTAATTTTTCAACTGTATTTTCATTTAATTTTCCTAAAGCTTATGAGATAGATGGAAATATTATAGGCTTGTTTGAAGTAACTAAACAGTGTCCTTTGTAAGGGGGAGTCAGAGTGGATTAGGGAGGATTACAGGTCTCCCCTCTAGACTCAGTATTGATTTTTGCAGTTTGTCCACACATTCTGTACTTCAGTGGGATGCTGGGTCTAGGGATGAAGTAAGGATGCAGAAATGTGCATCTTGATTTTGGCTTCCACAACCAATTTCCAAACCTGTTCCCAAGCAAGTTTTCAATATATCCTAGACCTGTCCTAATCGTTCTGAAATACTGATACACACTGGTCTGTATCTGAATTTACCTAAAAATTAAAAAAAACCTTGGACATTGCTCTGAAGGAGATTTATTTGGCCATGAATAACTTGAAGTATTACTTCTTTTGATTGTTGGCCACTGTCCCAAATTGAATGAAATTGAAATTTGTCCTCCCTGTTTTGATAACCAGAGACTGATTTGTAAGAAATTTGAAGACTAAAACTTAAATTAAAAAGTATTATACTTTGATTGGAGATAAGAAACAACAGTGAGTACAAATCTATAGAGTATAGAAGAAAGCATCATTGAGAGAGAAATCCAGTCCTTCTCTGGATTATTATTTGGATTTGAGTGAACTGCTAAATAGAACGTGGTTCACCGGTAGCAGTCTATTCATTCTTTCGTCTGTAATGTTATGAGTCCTTGTCACATCAAGGAGTGTTCATATCCCGGCTTCTCTCTCAGGGCCGTGTGCTCATCAAAGAAAGAGTTTTCAAGCCATTTATGCTTAGTACTCACAGATGAGCTATTAAATAGGGAGATCTTGCAGATGTAGGATGATTGCAAAAATCACTAACATTTTCCTATTTTGGGAGACCAAAGGTTATCTTTAACTTTTTAATTGGACACACACACATTCAAATGTCAAATATAATTCAATCAAAATTATGTTAATAAGTCTTTTAAAAGTCTAACTGTTCAATAAGACACATGCTGAAAGTTTTGCAAAGCCCTCTCCCAATCTCTACAATGTGTTGAGGCAATCTCTTTTCTTTACACAATACCAACATCACTGGCCCAGAATCTTTACTGTGCTAATTTGTAAATATAAATAAATCACTCATTTTGTAAACTTTTGTAAAGAATATTTTGGTAGAAATACTTAAAGCATATTCTTTGGGCTATATTTATACATATGTGAAATAAATATAATATCAAAAGGTTATATTTTATACAAAAAGTAAATTGTTACCTTTTGTATGCTAATATGCAAAGTTTTGTATAATGATGGTTTATTTTTAGCTCCACACTTAAATCATAGGTGGTCTAGTGGTAACCTTTGAAAACTGCAAGAAGCTTGTTACAAATTTATATTCTGAAACCTCAGTAAGAAAGCATTTCAGGTTTCATATCTCTCCTTTTTTTTCTGCTCCCAAATTCTTTATTAAACTCATAGGTCATCTGTCTTATTTGATTATTCTGCTGTGCACATTGTATTAATCCTTGTTGCATGTGGTCTACTGTGTGTTTTCCCATTTTATAAAACAGTGTTTCTCCATGCAAAAAAAGAGGAAAAACAATGTACATATAAACAATTTATTTTATGCCTCCTCCATGTTACTGTATATATCTGCCAGCACTCCTAGTTACACTCCTGTTATGCAACTTATTTTTATCCTAACATAAATAGTCTGTTTTGTAGTAGCTATCAGATTTAAGAGATGAAGCAATCAGAATGTTTGGATTTTCTTCTATCTTAATGTGAATTTCATAGGTAACGTCTATTTATTCAGCTATTCATTAAAATACAGGATTCTTTGGAAAAAAATGGTGTAATCTATAGTTTCTGTTTATGTGGCAGCCTATTACCAAAGATGATGTAATTTTCCTGAAAGCTGATATAATGGCAATTAGATAGACATATTTAGCCTGAAACTTATAATTTACAATTTAAACCTATTGGAATACAATCTCCCATTTATAGAAATACCAGACTACTTAATTTTGATATTGTTTATCATCTTGACATGTTACGCAGGAGGTAAAAGTATTTTTTTGTTTCTTTTTTTTAATTCAAAGGCTAGCAGGCAATTTGAGCAAAAAGTTCATTCTGGGCTTGTGTTAAGCCCAAACAACTCTGCTTTAAGTAAACGCACTATATAACCTGCATTATTGCAATTGTATCCATAAGTGTAAAGATTTCAATCTGTAAAACAATATTTTGTATTGTATGTAATTCCATGTGTAAAAAAATAGTTTAAAAATTCCTAAGTGGTTTTCTTGTATGAAATCATACCTACGGTCACAAACAATATGTTAACACTGTATCACAGAAAACTCTGAAAACTATTAGTAGTACTGAGTACCCCAAAACAAATTTTTCTAAAAGAATCTTCTATTTCTGGCAAAATACTGACTTGGATAACCATGTTTTTCAGATTAGTTAGCAAGTTTGGTATTAAAATTTTATTCATACCGCACCTACTAAATACTGGAGAGACATTGCTGAATTCTCATGTATTTACCTGGCTTGTGTGTGGCATTTGTCAGACCAGGCTGAGTAAGCACAGGGCTTAGCAATATCCCTACTAAGCACATTCATACAGCCCATTTTAGAAATTAAGGAGCAGAAGAGAAAGATGGGCTTTTATCAGAAGCGAGAGGAATCATCCCAAATTTTCCTGTCTCACTGTCTAAATATGTTGCTGTAATTTTATTATCCCTGCCCCCTCTTTAAAAAAAAACAGTATATGAAATCATCTTTTTTACCACTATTAGTAGAACTAGTACAGTTGATATTTTACATTATCCTTGTCCCAAAGAACCTATATGGTGGGCCAATAAGGAAATCACCATTAATAAAAATAATACAAACAAAGAGAAAGAGATTTTCAGTTCCAAACTATCTATGGACTCAGTATGTGGTCATGAGAGGAGATCTGAGAGGAAATAGGAGGATAAAATTGAAATGTAAACATATTTGCATAAATACAAAATTGAAATGTCAACAAATTAAGTATCTCACCTGTTTCTAGAAACCACAAGTTGAAAACTTAATTAAGTTGTTTACATTTCAATTTGGTATTTATGCAAATATGTTTCATCATCAAAAAGATTGATTTGGGTCTAAAACATATCCACAATCCTTTCTAACTGCAGAACTCTGTGGTTAATTTTTTCCAAAATTAAGTAAAAAATTGACTGAAAACACTCAATAGCATCATTTTTAAGATAAAGAAATCATTGATCCTTTAAAATTTAGAAAATTTTCAGATTGTTAGTGTTTTTGCATTAAGCATCATGTCCTGTACAATTAAACCATAAGCAATATTTTGTCATAATCACACAAGGACTGAACCGTAGACAAGCAATATACATGTAGATGCCCACTGACTTCAAATCAAGCCCTGAAGATCAACAAGTGGGAAGTGATGCTAAATGCTCATTTTCTTGTGAGAATAGAATCCTATAAATAGAATATTTGCCTATTAGGGAGGAGAAAAGCATTACATTAAGTGGTAAGTTTCATTGGATATTTATTAATGAAATTTCATGAGTCGTTCTCAGCTGTGAAACATCATTAAAATATACTTCCTATTTTCCTGAAATACACTTAGTGCTCTAAGATCAATTTTATTGGCAGCAGTTAGCATAGCTGAAACTTTATTCTATGAGAATTAAGGAAAAATTGACCTTAGATTTATTGACACAGATTGATGACTTTCATTTTAGCAGATTTGTAGATGCACGTAACATACTTAGATAGTTAAAATTTGAAACTAAATGGTTTAATATGAGACCTGAACACAATAATATTAACAGAGAACGTCGTTTATTTACCTAAATAACATTTTAAATTTTATTTTACCAAATTATGTGCTTCTTAGCTCCAGGATATGCAGGAATATACTGAAGCTTTTTAAATAATTGTTAGTATTCTTTCAGTAAAAGAAAAGAAAAAAGAAAGGCAGCAAAAAAAGAATACCATACTATATAAATATATGGAATCCTCTTACACGATTATTTCAATAAAAGGAGAAGGGAAAAAAGAAGGAAGGGACATACACATACCTCAAATAGGCTTAAAGAAAGGAATTCACTGGATCATACAACTGAAACTTCTGGGAGGTTGTTCTGAATTAGACACGGCTAAACTCAGTAGCTCATCAAACACTGGGTCTCATGTGCCTCTCGCCTGTGCTCCCCTACAAACTGGCTTCATGCTTAGGGTGTGTTTCTCTCATGGTGACAGTGATTGCTAGAAGCTCCACACTTACCGTCTTCACCACTCCAAGTCCAGCGGGAACAACCGTGAATGCTTTCTCTTTTGCTTCTCGCTGACTGATTAGTACATGTGCCTCTCCATGAACAGTGATATTGATCAGGCCCAAGCCAATGGCTATTCCTTAGGAAGTGATACTAACCAAGCCATGTGAACTGAGTAAGGGAACCAGGTGACTCACAAAAGTAAATTCAATTGTTTCTGTCATTAAAAAAATCAATAAATGTGAAACAAAATCACAAGTGTCTACTACCTTCTCTGGCTACCCTAGTTCTATACACACTATTTTCCCCAAATCTTCAATTTAAAATTATACGAAGGATACAGACCCATCTGCATCCTCCCCACAGAGAGGTGATCAAGTCTGATGTGTATACAGTATCCATCTTCTAGGCCCACACACCTCAGTGAGGTACTCTTTCCTGCCAGCCTAATGTGAACTGGTGACCTAGGCCCAAAGGATGTGTAAACACACCCAGTACTACCCCCCAAAACATACAGTTGTGGAGAAAGAACAAGCTAGCAATAAAAAGAGAATGCAGCATGTATATGTCACAGCATCTAAGTGCAAAAGGCCTCACCTTTCATAAGGATGCAAAAAAACAAAAAAAAGTTTAAATGCCTCTGACCACTCAAATCAATGGCTGCAGAAAGACACTTAAAATCCCCTTCTTTCCTCAAACTGCACATCCGTAATATTTTCCAATGAGATGAGCTGTCACTTTCCTCAAAGAGTTTACTATATTAAACAGTTGGGAGTGACCAGGGAACCAGGTTCCTTTCCAGTCTCAGCCACGTCTCCTGCTAGAATTCCTATCTCTAACGTAGCATGCAACAACTTTAATTTAAAACTGAAAATCCAAAATTTATTTTTAATCAGAAAATGTTTAAATATTCCAAGGGTCAGAGAGACTTTAATGTAAGGAATTGATTACATAGGTAAGACAAGCTAACACGAAGATAGGGTATGGTGAAGGCCCTCCAGATATGACCAAAGTCAGAAAACATTACCAGGCCTTGGACGAAAGGACAAAAAGGCAAAGGATCAGGATTACTGAGCAGATGCTGCAATGCTAATGGGCCTGTCTGGTCAGAGATCAGATCCGATGAAGAATTTCAGCAGCTAATGGGTAGGTGACTAATGAAAGAGGAAGAAGAAATCCAGTCTCTCACCACCACCATCCCCACCTCGCCTTCTTCCACTCTCCAGCTGGATTTAGTTTGCTGAACTCAGGTGGAATACAGTTTAGAGGTGTGCATTAAAAACTAGAAGCAGAAAAAAAGGCAAGGCATAAACCTGCCAATAAGCAGGCCCAGGCTGGACATAAGTTTGCAGATCACTGGACTCGCAGCAGCCTTAGACTGCAGACCTACAGCAGCAAACAGCTTTCTTAGCAAGCCTATTTGTCTATTTATTAAAAAATGGTGTCGATTATGAAACTGTTCAACTACAAGTATATGAAAGACCAACTAAAATAGTTTAAATATGGAAATTTTAAAACTATTTCACTGACCCTAAGAAAAATGTTTGCCATGTGTTCTTATCAGTAAAATTGCCGTTATTTACCATCGAGGTGAAGAGAAAGCATTATACTATTGTATAATGATTAGTAACTTTTCCATTTGTTGTGGAAAGTAGAATGATACTGTCCCTCATAATCAGTAGCATCTTGTCTTTGATGAAATGCAGTACTTGTCTCCAACAAGAAGAGGATCTGTATGACAGTCTTGACCTATCACTGTGTTCTAATAACACTATCGGATACTTAGGCTATGCTCACCTTCATGAGGATGCAGAGAAGTCCCATCCTTCATTATTGTCACCTTACAGTGACAACATGGTCAACCCAACATTGTGTCTCTGCTATGAGTTATAAAAATGGAAAGAAAAAAATAGTAAAGGCAAAAGAATGTTATACATAACAAGTCTTTCCTTTCATTTGGGAAAGGTCCTCAACCCAGGGAAGTATATTAATTTGTCTTGTTAGCCATGACTGTTTTATACACTGTCAGATCTTCAGGAGAAGCTGGGCATCAAGTTCTTAGAGTTATAATATCTATAGTAAAGGAGGTCAATGAAGGAGGTGGCTGAAAATGAAAACAAAAGCATAAATCCATCAGAATTATAAATTTAAGGTATTGATTATCTTTGAAGGAATATAGAAATATTATTTGAAAAATAGACACAGGGGTCATAACTATAGTTGCATTTTGTGATTTTTCTCAGGTGGATAAGGACCATATGGTTTTGATTAGGGAATGGTATCTTATTTATGACACCAAAAGCAAACATGCAAAAAAAAGTAGATAAATTAAACTTCATGAAAATCACAAATTTTTGTGTTTCAAGGCCACTGTTAATAAAAAAAAGATAAGCATTGAATGAGAGACAATGTTTACATAGCATATATCTGATAGGGAATTTGTATTTAAAATATGCAAATAACTCTTACAACTTAAAGGCAAAAATACAATTCAATTTAAAATAGGCTTAGTATCTGAATAGGCCTTCTCCAAGAATATATATGAATGGTGAATAATAATGCGATGTTCAATATTGCTAGTTACTAAGGAAACCACAATTACACAATATGTCATATCTTCTAGTATATTTATACTATAAAGACAGACAAAAGTAAATGTGCACAAAATATGTAGAAATTAGAATGCTCATAAACTGCTGCTGGGTATGTAAAATTATATAGATCTTTAAAAGAGGTTGTAGAAGCTCCTCAAAAGTCTACATAGAGTGACCCCAAAACTTCATGAGATTTTCATTCTTTTAAAACATGGAATATTGGGGGCTGAGGATTTAGCTCAGCAGCATAAGCGCCTGCCTTGCAAGCAGGCAGTCATGAGTTCAATCCCTGGTACCGATAAAAAAGGAAAAAGACAAAAAAAAACCCCATGGAATATTTATGAAAACTGATAAAATTATAGGCCATAAATTATAGGCCACAAATTTCAGATGACCAATATTTTACCAATCATATTCTCCATCCACAATTCTTTTGTAATTATGTATTAGACACACAAATTTCAGCACATAAATCCAGCTATTATGAAGAGTAACTTGAAAAACGTGTCATTCACAGTACCATTAAAAGCATCATAATCTTGGATTTTATGTGAGCACATGTACATATATATGTGGGTATATACTTATGTTTGTCTAGTCCAATACCCTAATCCAATAATTCTGCTCTAAAGTATATGTGCAAGAGAAATGAAAACATATTTTCATTCAAAAATGTGCAGTGCATCCAGGCATGGGGGCACATGCCCATAATTCCAACTCGTAGGAGGCTGAGGAAAGAAAATTGCCATGAGTTTGAGACCAGCTGGAGCTACAGAGTGATTTCAACATCAGCCTGAACTGTATAATGAGACCTCATCTCAAAGAAAAACAAATTTAAGACATGTAGTACATAAAAGTTCTTGGCAGCTTTATTCATAGCAGCTAAAAGTGGCAACAAAACAATATGTATCACCAGATGAATAGATAAACAAAATAGAGAAGCATCGTTTGGCAAAAATGCTGCAACATGAAAGATACATGCTATAACATGAAAGAACTTTAAAACCATTACAATCAATGAAAGCATGAGGTCACAGAACACCAAATGTTACATGATTGTATTTGTAAAGTGTCTGGAATAGGGAAATCCATAGAGACTGAGAGTAAATTATTAATTGCCTAGAGCTGGGAGATGAAGTCCTGGAGAATGATTGCTAATGGATACAAATAATACTCCAAGGGGGCAGCAAGGAAAATATTGTATAGTTATACAGCGGTAGTGACTGCAAAACTCTGAAAATACTAAAAATCACTGCACTGTATAACTTAAAGGGGTGAGTTTTATAAACTTTGATGGATACCTCAAGAGAGCTATTTTTTAAAAAAATTTAAAAACGAGATCACTGAGTTACCACCTCAATAATACAGATGTCAAATCCAGAAATGAAGTAGAGTCAATAATTCCCAAATATAATCAAATATCAATGACAGTTTGTGTCATGACAGCTTTAGTTGAACTTTAGAGAACTTGAATATGAATTTTAGTTGACTATGCAGGATATGGAACAGAATATACAGACTAGAGTATGCTTAAAGTGAGAATTATAATAAAAAGATCCCCTACCGAAAGCTGGTACTGTTATTGCAAGAGGAAAAGAGAAAGACAGAGAGACAGAGACAGAGACAAAGAAAGGAAGGAAGGGAAGAAGAAAGGATGGGAGGAAGGAAGGTAATCCATAGGATTTCATCTAGAGGAAGGCTAAAAATGAAATAAGCTTTACTGTATCACAAATGGAAAAAGTTCTAATTCCATTCATATGAGTTTGAGCTTACATTCATAAAATTTATGTTGAAAAAACCTGAGTGCAAGATTTTATTTTAAGTGTTTCCTGTGGGAATAGACAAAAAAGGGCAAAACTTTATAGAAGGTTTTGAAAATTTCAATGCAGTTTCAAAGGAAACCAGAATTGAATCCACTATCAAAACTCACAAAATATATATGCAAACAGAACAGCATATAAGCGAGCACCAGCATAGTCAAGACACTGAAAGTCAAATAAAGCTTCAGAAATCAAAAACTGTTTAATATATATAAAGCAAAAAATATGTTCTTGAAAATATCAGGCATTAATTAAGTACTTGCCAAATGAATGGAAAATAAACATTCATTTTTAAAACATGACATTTCATACTTTTAAAACATTGTATATTCATGAAAGCTGATAACATTATAAAGGAATGAAATAGTAAATTTCAAATGATCAATATTTTACTGATCCACGATTCCTTAGCAAGAAATGAATTTACAAAGATAACTTAGAAATCTAATTTATTTGAAATAATTTTTAAAAACTCATCAAAAAAACCCATGTCACAATGTAATCATTATGTACAGAAACAAGGACTAATAAAATAAATAAAAATTGCAAAAAAATACAGTACAATTGAGTTATGTATATTAACTCTGCATACTGAAAGTGTTGTTAATTCTGCTTAGCTCTGTATTTTTTTATAGATTACATAGGATTTTCTACAATTTTCATCTTGATGTCTTGCTTTTCATTTCTTTTTCTCTGTATTGTATTCACTAGAACTGTGGTAAATAAATGTATTTAAAGTGTATAAATATCATATGGATTGTCTTACATAAGAAACCCAAAGTATAACTCGATTGAAGAACAAAGTAAAAGATAGTAAGAAATGGAGATAAATCTTTTGCGAATG